GACAAAGAGACAGACCTTGACTCTGTTCCTGAGACATAATTTTTTCATGATTCTTTCCCCTTTCAACTTTTACCCCCCCCCCCCTCCTCCTCCCTCTTCTATTATCGATGTGCGGGGACCCTTGAAGACTCTCATCGCTTTCTCTCGGCCTCTCTCTTTCTCTTTCCCCTTTCTCTTTCTTTCGCTTTCTCTTGATTCGTGCCGTCTCTCCTCTTTTTCTCATATCTAGTTCGCTTTTTCTTATTTCTTTCTCTGACTCTCTTGTTTCGTGCTTCTCTTCTGCCTCTCCTGTCTCTCTCCCTTTTTTTCTCGTATCTAGTTCGGGTTTTCTTATTTCTTTCTGTCTCTTTCTCTTGTTTCGTGCTTCTCTTCTGCCTCTCTTGTTTCTCTTCCATTTTTTCTCTTATGTAGTTCGCTTTTTCTAATTTCTTTCTGTCTTTCTCTTGTTTCTTGTCTCTCTGTCTGTCTGTCTGTCTGTCTGATCTCTTTATCTTTTGTCTCCGCTTCTTGTTATTAGGTTTAAGTATTGATTTTGGGTTTAGGGTTTGGTACCTTTTGTCTCCGTTGTTATTTTATTTATTGGTCATATGGTATAATAAAAGTTTAACCCGCAAGTACATTCTTTCTCTTACACTCTTTCTGTCCATTTGCCCCCTACCTCTCCTCCTTCTCCCTATCACAATCCTTCTCCTTTCCCTCCCCCCTCTTTCTCTTCTGCCCCCGTCTCTTCCTCTCCAACTTCCCCCTTTCTGCTCCTCCCTCACTCTCTCTCCCACTCCCTACCCCTCACCTTTTTCTCACTTCCCCCTCCTTTACTACTCTTCACCCCCCCCTTTCTCTTCTCTCTCTCTCTCTCTCTCTCTCTCTCTCTCTCTCTCTCTCTCTCTCTCTCTCTCTCTCTCTCTCTCTCTCTCTCTCTCTCTCTCGTTCTCTCTCTCGTTCATTGTATGTAGCTAAATATATATATATATATATATATATATATATATATATATATATATATATATATATATAGTTTTTTATTATTATTATTATTTTTTAACCATTATCCAGACTAATTCCGCATCTCTGTCGTTACAGGTACGGTGTTGCTGAAAAAGCAAGTATTACGGTGTTTATTTCCAAGAGAATCTCATGCCAAGGATGGGAGAGCTCGCCGGAATTCCACGTTTTGTCAACAGCTGTCGATAGAGTGGACTAGTGTGTCACTTTGTTGACGCGGCGGGCGGTGGTATGAGCTCTCCCGCTTCTCATACGGTTGAGTTTTGTAAACCACAGAGGTGAGATGTTGGTCGTTTTGTTTACCTTTTTTTTTAATGGTTCCTGGTTTAGTTCTTTCGGCTGATATTTACAAGGATTTTTTTCTGAGGGCGTTTTTTTTCTTATCTCCTTCCTGGTTTAATTCGCTGTTATTTTAAGTATTTTTTTCTTTTTCTTTTTTCCTGAGGGCAAATTTTCACCTTTTTCTCTCCTTTCTTTTCCCATTTTCTCTCCTTTTTAGGGTCTCCTTCCCATATCTCGTTCCCATCTTCCTATCTTTCCCTCTCCGTCTCTTTTCCCCTCGTCCTGTCTTCCTGTCTTCTTTTCTTCTTCCTGAACACGTCTTCATTTCCTCCTCCTCGCGTTTCCTTCGTCCTTCCTCTCCTCCTTTCTTGTGCCTCCTTACTCCATCATTCCTTACTCTGGGTTGCATTTCCTCCCTCTCCGTGCCTGGACGCGTTTTCTTCCATTTCCTTTTCCTCCTGCCCATCACTCTAATCTTCTCCTCCTCCTCCTCCTCCTCCTCCTCCTCCTCCTCCTCCTCCTCCTCTCTCCCCCTCCCCCTCCCCCTCCTCCTCCTCCTCCTCCTCCTCCTCCTCCCCCTCCTCGTCCTCCTCCTCCTCCTCCTCTTTATTCTCTTCATCCTCTCCTCCCCACCCCTCCCCCTTCTTTTTCTTCTCTTCTTCTTTCTTTCTTTCTTCTTCTTCTCCTTCTCCTTCTCCTTCTCCTTCTCCTTCTCCTTCTCCTTCTCCTTCTCCTTCTCCTCCTCCTCCTCCTCTTCCTCCCTTCCCTCTCCTCTCCCTCTCCCTCTCCTCTCTCTCTCCTCCTCTCCTCCCTTTCCTCTCCCTCCATCTCCTCCTCCCCCACCCCCCTCCCTCTCTCCTCCTCCTCCTCCCTTTCCTCTCCCTCCATCTCCTCCTCCCCACCCCCCCTCCCTCTCTCCTCCTCTTCCTCCTTCATCTCCTCTTCCTCCTCCTCCTCTTCCTCCCCTCTCCTCTTCTCGCGCGCCGCCGCTCTTCCCTGCGAGCCCTCCCTGTCGTGTCTAGGCAGAGCTCTTTGTGTTCCAGGCGGTCCCCCGTCGCTCGCTCCCTCGCTGACCTACTTTCCAGGCCTCGGGATCCAGCAGCCAGGCGGCCGGCCAGGAGGCGAGGGGGAGACGCGGGCGGCGAGGGAAGGAAAAGGGGGAGGTGAAGGAGAGGTGACAGTTGAGAGAGCGAGGAGGGTGGGAGAGTATGAGAGAGAGGGAGAGGGAGTTTGAAGGGTGGGGAGTGAGTGTGAGAATGAGAATGAGAGGGGGTTAGTGGGTAAGTGAGTGAGTGAGTGAGTGTGTTTGTGTGTGTACAGAGAGAGAGAGAGAGAGAAAGAGAAAGAGAGAGAGAGAGAGAGAGAGAGAGAGGGGGGGGCGCCGGGGAGCAGAACGGATTACATAGAGCTTGGGGAAAGTTGAGGGAAAATGGAAGTAAGAAGTGAAAGAGAGAAAATAGAAAAAACGATGGGTGGAAAGGAAATAAAGACACGAAGAGGGAGTGGGAGGAGGAGAGAGGGAAGGGGGGAAATTAGAGAAATAGATAAATAAAAAAGGTAGAGAATAAGAGAGAGAAAATAGAGAAGAATAAAGAGATAAATAGAAAGAAAAGAAAAGAGGACGAGATGAGAGAGAGAGAGAGATAGAGATAGATAGATAGAGAGAGAGAGAGAGAGAGAGAGAGAGGAGAGAGAGAGAGAGAGAGAGAGAGAGAGAGAGAGAGAGAGAGAGAGAGACGTAGAAGATTGATGATAGTTGAAGAGGGGGGGGGGGTAGACGGCACTGGGAGCCTTCGACCTACTTCGAAGGTCCTTGGATAAGCTAGGCCTACTTCGAGAGCCATGAGATAAGAGAGAAGTAGGAGGAGGGAAAGGAATGGGAAGAAAAAGGGGAAAAGGAAGAAAAAGGGGAAAAGGAAGAAAAAGAGGTAAAGGAAGAAAAAGAGGATGAGGAAGCGAAAGAGGTGAAGGAAGAAGAGGTAAAGGAAGAAAAAGAGAAAAAGGTAAAGGAAGAAAAGAGAAAGAGGTAAAGGAAGAAAAAGAGAAAGAGGTAAAGGAAGAAGAAAAAGAGAAAGAGGTAAAGGAAGAAAAAGAGAAAGAGGTAAAGGAAGAAAAAGAGAAAGAGGTAAAGGAAGAAAAAGAGAAAGAGGTAAAGGAAGAAAAAGAGAAAAGGTAAAGGGAAGAAAAACAGAAAGAGGTAAAGGAAGAAAAAGAGCAAGAGAAAAAGAAGATAAAGATGAAGAAGAAGATGGTGGTGGTGAAACGATAAAGAATAGGAAGAAAACGGCAAAGAATAGGAAGAAGAAGAAGGCGATGGTGACGGAGAAGGATGAGAAGGTGAAGCATAAGAATAAGAAAAAGAATTGGGATAGAAAAGGGATAAAAGAAAACGAACAAATAGAGAGCAAAGACGTAAAAAATAAGTTTGGATTTGGAAAGGAAATGCAGAAAGACGGTATTCAAGTAGGCCTACATACGTGCACATGCTGAGAGCAAGAAAGGGGGTCAATAGGAAGGGAAACGGGGGGGGGGGGTGAGGAAATAGGCTTGGAGAGAGGGAGATGAAAGAGAGCGAGATAGAGAGAAAAGGGGAAAGATAAAACGGAAAAGGACAATGAAAGAGAATGAAAGAGAGTAAAACAACAAACAAAAAAGTGGAAGAGAGACGAGAAGAAAAAAAGGAAACATAGACATAGATAGAAAAAGAAGAAAGAAAAGAATCTCTCCCTAGACAGAAAGGGGGAGAGGGAGGAATGGAGGAGAGAGAGGGAAAGGCAGATGCAGAGAGAGGAAAGAGAAGCAGAGACAGACAGACAGACAGACAGACAGACAGACAGACAGACAGACAGACAGACAGACAGACAGACAGACAGAGTGAGAAAATTGGGAGACACGGAGAGCGGGGAGACGAAGACGGAGTAACGGACTGACAGAGAGCGTTAGCGGGATCGAAAGCGCATTAAGGAGCCGAAATGGAGTCCGGGATGGAGTCCTCGCGGGCGGGCCGAAAGGGCGGGGGAGACACCGGGGTGACTTGGGGCGTCGAGATGGGCGTCGAAGGGGGCGGGGCGAAGTAAAAACTTGGAGAACGGAGGAAGTTCATTGAAAGATTCGCCAAGTTAATGGTGGTGTTGCGGGGCGGGGGGAGGGGTGGGGTAGGGGGGGAGAGAGAAGTTTAGGCGGTGCTGTTAATAACAGAAAAGGGAGCGAAGTTTGGTGGAGAATTAATCTAGGTGGAAAAAAAGGAGCAAAAAAAAGAGAAGAAGAAAAAGGCGAGCGTGATGTACAAATTTTATTAGGCTGTGATTTCGCCCAGGGATTTCGCGGTGGGGTTGAGCTCGTACAAAAGTCCTGAGTTTTTACAGTTTCTTTTTTTCATGTTATTGTTATTGTTCTTCTTCTTTTCTTCTCTCTTGTCTTTTTTCTCTTTTTCTTCTTTTTCCTTTTTTATTTTTCTGTTTCCTTTTTTATTTTTCTTCTTTTTTTTTCTTTTTTTTCCGTTTCTCCTTTTCTTCTTTTTCTACTTTTTCTTTTCTACCCCTTCTCCTTCTCCTTCTCCTCCTCCTCCTCCTCCTTCTTCTTCTTCTTCTTTTCTCTTCTTCTTCTTTTTCTTCTTCTTCTTTCTTCTTCTTCTTCTTCTTCTTCTTCTTCTCTTCCTCCTCCTTCCACATATTACTCTGTTCTCTCCTTTCTCTTCCTCACCCTCTTTTCTTTTC